ACACTGAATATCACTGTGTTTGTGAGAAAATAAAGGGACCTGGTAATACTCTGCATATTCACTTAGCATGTAAAGTCCTTAGGGCATCTTTTATTTATCTGCAGCACACAATCCATGTGGACTGTAAAAATAATGGATCTTGCAGTCTGTTGAAAGTATTTGACAGTTCTTTAGGAATGGCCTTACTGATTGTATTTAGGGAACAAATTTCTGATAAAACTATGCAATTTCCTGTGTGGTTAGGAAAGAAAAATATCACTCATGCCTTTTTACTGGTTGTGCATTTCTTTAAAGATCTGTTGTACATCTGAAATTCTGAATGGGTCTGTAATATGGACTAGCAATTTGTCTAAGCAGGTCTTTCCCCTACAAAGTGAAATATCGACAACAAAGAAATTCTGTGCTTTTTTTGCTGCTCTCACGTAAATCACTTTGTGACTAGTTGTTCAGTGAAGGATTACAGCAGGCAACATTCTTGAGAAACTGTGTGTGGTTCATGAGCCTAAATCCTGCCAGACTCCTGCTTTCATCGAGTGCTGTTTATTGTCCTCAGGAGACGGCACTCCGAAGCTCAATGTGGGTCACGCAGCACTGGGTGGCCACAGGTAACCATGTGGGGAGATGCGATGTTCAAAGGCAGCCTATGGCAGGTAGCACTGATAGAGGGAAAGCCTGCGTCACCTGGGTGTCCTGCTTCCTTCAGCACCTTTAGGGAGGTGCATTCCATGTTAATTTGATCAGAGTAGGAATTAGTAAAGCAGTAGTCAAACACAGTAGTCAGCATCATCAAGGACTATAATCCCCAACAGTATACTGGGTGTTTCATTGCTACAGTTGTAACAGATGGTCTGAATATGTGTCTGGGTATCTCAGCTAGGAAGGGCAAGTTCAGCATCATTTCTTGATGTCAATGTGGGGAACATAAGCCATTGCTTGTCACTTTTTTTTATGAAGCTGTAAGAAACAAGATTTTAATTTTTTTAAGAATGAAATGTCTGAGACCAGCCTGGTTTCAGTTACAGCTTTCTTTTGATATATTGGTATATTGTATCCTCAATAGCAGACACAGACAGTTTTCACTGATAGCTGTGAACAGAAGAATAATCAAAAGGCTACTCATCCTCTCAGGACTCCCATGTCTAAGTAGACACTGTTCAGGCCAACAGGATGATAGTCTGTGTCACTGCTTAAAATAGCTCTCTTATAAACAAATGCTGAAACTTTGCATCTTGACTTGGAGTTAATAAATAAATATATCGTATTTGAGTATAAATATTGTAAAGATTTGAGATTACTGTTTAACAATAATATAAATATAAGAAGTTGGGTCAAAAGGAATAATGTTTTACAAATTGTTTAAATCCAAATTAAATATGAGGTGGATTATGTCAATAATGGTGATGATGTAACTCACTGTGGTTATTTATTTATATATTTACTAGGCAGAAAACTGCTAAATTAAGCAGCCTCCAGTCCATCTGTCTAATTGTTTCTCAGGAGTTAAGCACTCCTAATTGAGGACATTAGTGACCAGTTGTGATTGTCACCGCCTGTTTGTGAACTCAGGGCATGACACACCTACAAAACCAGCCAAGAAGTAGCATGTGTAGCTTGTAATTTTGGTGTTAACCAGAAATCTTGTGGCAGCACAGGCAGTCCCAATGGCTCTATTTATTTACCGTAAATAAACCTGGCACTCTCTGCCCCGGCTGGCCTCAGGCTCTGCCCTGGCCCCTGTGCTGGCAGTGTGGTGGCTGCTGTGCACCAAAGCTGTGCCACGGCACTTAAACGGGATGGATGGGCACAAAGTGCTGATACAGAGAAATGATTACTTGTTTTGAGATTTATTTACTTCTAGAAAACTGCTTAGCAACTTATTTACTTACTTATAGCAAGTTATAGTATTTTTAAAAATATTGCTAAGAATCCTGCTTGCCCAGACTGTTCTGTGGAATTTTACCAAGGACTACTGTGTTCATCAAAACAAAACAGTTCACTGTGAAAATCTACCAAGGATTACAATGTTCAGCAAAATATTATACTTTTGTCCTTGAGTAACAGGTGGCTCTAACTAGTTGGAATTCTGCTAATGAGTAAAGATAGCCATATACGAATGGTAGAAGTTCTGTTGGTTCTCTTAGATAAGATAGAAAGTAAACCGTCTGAAAAACACTCTTGTTATTCAAGAAATTGGCCAAGAGAATTTGCGCATGCTCTGGGGAAAAAAACAAAGTGAGAAAGACTACAAGCCTTCCTCCCAAAGACCCCCGAAGGCGCCCACCAGGAGGCAATGGGCAGGTGCAAAGATGACATAAACTGTTGACATCAGCCTTTCTAACTAACCCAGCCCTACTCATGCATATGTATGTTTGTGTTATGTAACCCGATGAATATGGACATCCACACTCTATGAGTTTTTGGTAAAATGTGCGGTGGCTGTGCAAACTTTGTGGAGAAATCCCCTTGCACCCCGGCACCGGAGCAAAAATACCTGCTTTATAACTCTATTCAAGCTGTAGAGTCTTTTTTCCGCAAATCAGGGCTGCTCAGCCTTTGCCCTGCTCTTCTCTAGCTTATTAACAGAAGTGTAGCATTTAATACAAGAGATTGTAAGTGCCACCCTCCAATTAATATACAAAGGGTAAATGAAGTTCTGAATCAACAAAGCACTCAGGCCTGAAAAATTACTAGGCTATAGGGACTGTGCTGAATTAAAACCAGCAAACACCCCAACTGCATTTTCTTAACCCCTAGTCAAGCATGAATTTAGGCTAAGTAGCAGTGTTTTAGATATTTCATGTAGTGGTCTTTAATTTATTTGCTTTTAATTAGCATTCAGAAAACTCTTAATGAAGAATGGATGAAGAATAAAAGAATCTATAGAGCTTGGCATTAAAATAATAGCCATTTAACCTCATATGTGAGTAAAAAATGTAACTACTGTAGCAGTGGAAAATGAATTATGGTTCCTCTGCTAATACACTTGCAAAAGAAAAACTGAAAAATGGCTATAAAAGTAACAGTGACAATTTAATGTCTACAGGGATTGGTATTTAACAAAATTAAATGATCTTAAAATCTGACTACAGTTCAAATATTTATGTTAAAATTCCTAGCAAGTAAGAACATGACCAGTCATTATAAACTGCAATTCCAGCATTCCAAGTGGATTTTACTGGGTTAAGAATTTATAATCTGATTATGCTACACTCAACTTTAAAGATTTTAAAAATCAGGCTACTTAAAATACCGACAAAAGTGTTTTCTTTAACTTGTCATGGATTTCTAAAGAAGATATTTGCCTTTTGAGCGCTAAAATACAGGTGTAGTCCACGAAGACTTGAAGAACCAAGTTTTTCTAACAGTGAAGGCGTGGGTAGAACAGAATACTGAGTAAAGAAAAGTAAATATTTCAGGCATACTTCAGTAATGACAACTGATGTGGCCTGACAGAGGTGAGATACTCTGTTTTAGTACTAGGGTTAGATTTTGCTATTGCATAAGGTACTACGGAGATTTGTCAATCATGTCAATATTTCTACATTAAAAATGTAATACCTATATATAAAAATGAGCTGCAGCATCCTCCAAAGGATGTTTGCAATTTCTCATATTGCCTCTTACCGACTAGAATATTTAATAAGCCAGGCTCATTTTCCTGCAAAACTGTTTCACTTGAGAAAAACAAGCAAAACTCCTTTAGTGAATGTAGAACCCCGGAGAAACACGGTCGGTTTTCCCTTCCCTCCTCCCCGGCAAGGGGGTGCGGGGGGCAGGAGGGGCCGGTGGCCCCGCCCCTCCCGGCCAGGCCCCGCCCCTCCCTGGCTGGACCGAGCTCACAAATGGCAGCAAAAAGGTGAAATTAAGCAGTGGCGTCAGTTGGGAAACCAGGGATTGAAAGCGACTCTTATTGGGCTAACTTGGGGAGCTGCAGCAAGGACAGGATATCATTCTTCTCCTGAATTTTTGGGAGTATTATTGTGGCTGTCACCTTTCTGGCTTGCAGTTTTCCTCAGTGTTACTGTAATCATCCTGTTTGCAAGACGATTCCATGTATCCTTCCCTTGAGAGAAAAGAACCTCTGTTTTCTTGTCTTTGATATTTCAAGAAAATGTAAGAGTGATCTAATTACAAAAAGCACTGATGAGCAGAACTAGCAAATGGACATTACTTGTACACGAAGGCTGCATGGTGTTTTTGTTTTTGATTTTGTGGTGTTAGGCAGCTGTGTTGCAATCAGATGAAAAATTCGCAATCTAGAAAAGAGCAATCAAAGCAAATTGCTAACCTCAGTCTTCCTGGAACCTTTAATATATCCAGGGCCACTTAAAAAGTTCTTTAAAAGTAGTAAACTGCACATCTGGGTCTGGTTTAAGGTGTATAAACTGTGTAGTAATGACTGTTAGTTTGTAATCACTTTCTGCTAGCAGTGGAAAGCAGCCTTAGAGGAAAGCAGTACTTGCAAAACCTTGCAAGGTGCGTTTATGGAACTGCACTATTTTGCTGTTCAGCTTAAGCCTGCTGCTTATCTTATGAGGCTGACCATGCTCAGACTGTAGCCCAGCCTCTGCCAATGTACGCAGTAGCTTAAAACCAGAAAATGTGGTGGTTTAAAACTTCTACCTTTGTGAAAGGGGATGTTCTTTTACCTCCTCTTTGTAAACTTAGTGATAATTTATCACTTGCTTTTCTTCTACAGAAGGCAGCTAACCAAGAGAAGCTTCATCAAGAAAGCTTTTAAGCCTCTGTTTTGGTAACACGATCATCACAAGATGATCTGCCGCTTGGATAGCATTCAAAGGAGGTTGCACTGGCAGGTGCTGACTGTACTTGTCGGAAGTGCACATCTGTACTGTAGAGACCTCATATTATCAGTGTAGTACTTAAGAGTCAAAATGCAAACGCTTGTTTAACCAAAAATGGCACTGGAAACTGATCCGATGCTCTGGCATACACTGGGTATGACAGATTACTTTACAAATCTGTGTTCAAAATTGCAGAGCCCAGCTGAGCACCTGGAAGGAGGCCTGGTCCCCGTGCTGGACACCAAACATTTATTAGATGTGTGCAGAGGACAGACCTGCAGTAAGGTAGATAAATGGTGACATGCTGGGCATCAGGCCTCTTTGGAGCATGTGAAATAATAAAAGAGAAGTCAGATGTCTGCTAGTGCGTGGTTTTATTCTGTTTTATTTGAGTAATGCTGCTGCAATGTGTTTATATCAAAGGAGAAGTTAAAGCCTGTATGATAGCATTTTTGTTGTTGCTCTAAACTGAAAACTCCTTTTATTCTGCTAATCCTTTCACCGGCTGCAGGCTCTTTTCAGGCACACAGTCCGCTGCTTTATTTCCTGCTCCTCTGTTCTGACTCTTGTACTTGGTCTGATTTCTCTACTTCCTTAACTTCTGACTTGTTCTCCTCTTCTCTTGCCAGTGTTGGGATATGTGGGCTGCATTTCATTACCACAGAGACCAAACCTCAGCCTCCTGTACCCTTCTCTATATGCTATAATGAAAACCACAGATAAGGCAGAAATACTGGGAAAGGCCTTCTAGGGACTAGGAGGCATTTTCCTTGGGATTTTCTCAAAGGAGTAACACTAAATGAGCTCCAGCACACTGCCACACTGACAGCAGCATATGTAGTGGTAGTAAGGCTGTGTGGCCAGGTGGGGATTACTACCAGTTACCTTTGAGCTTCATATTGCACCTTCCTTTTCTGCTTTCTTCCCTGGCAGCAGGGACCTTGAGTAGGGTTTATGACAGGTCAGTGCTGCCAGGTGAGGATGAAGGGGTCCTACAGAGAGCTGTGGAGCAGTCCTTTTTGGTGGGTCCCACTGCACTGCCATTGGCAGTGGCACAAGGGGCCGCAGGGAACAGGGGCTCTAACTACCCTCTTGACTGTGGGACTTCAGCACATGAAGGAGCTATTGTGACCCTTGAAGCCAAGCTCTCCTGTGGTGTTAGAAAGCTTTGATCCTTCCACTAATTTCCAGAGAGAAATTGAATGCCAAACCTACCTTGGTGCTGTAAGAGGGTGCTCTAATGTTCCTAAAACCCCTGGGTTGCCCTGGTAAGAAAGTGCAAGCACTTCACACTGCTCTCTATACATAGTGCAGCTTTATGCTGTATTAGCCCTAGTTATCTGTATGGCAATTGTTTTCTGTGCTCTCTGGATCTCAGTATTCTGACTTGGAATTTTTACCTGCGAACAGCAGAAATGTGTTGTTAAATCCCCTGATGTAGTTAGTTCCTAATGTTCTGCCCTGTATGCATGCTGGAGGAGGTAGGGGTCTTCTCTAGGGTACTGTGTGACTTATTACTACCATATAAATCCTGACAAGCAAGTGATAGTGGAGCAAGGTCCCCCCCACAGTGGCTTAAGAAGCAAATGACAGCCCATGCAGCTGATCTAATGTTTGTCCCTTGGCTGAGAAATCCCACAAGTGACAGCTGCGCCTCTGGGATGGCTCTCATGGTGCCCACTGCACCTGCAATGGTTTTCAGTATTTATCAATGAGAAAAGCAATTACAAAACGCTGCTCTAAAGCTCCCCAACCTCGCTTTAATAACAGCCAAAGAGTTCAGCTGTGTTGGGGAATGCTGTGGGTCAGACAAGGACAGTATGACAGATCCAGCTTTATGCCAGCCCAGACTCTTCAGCCCTACTCATTCCAGTGGCAGGGATACTTGCACCACCTCTGAAGCATAATTTGTCTCATGGGAAATGCTGTGAGGTTTTTTTTCTTTTTTTTTGTTTTTTTCCCCCTAGCTCTATTCTTTTTGTGACTGAGCATGGTAAACAGATTACTTGAATAGCCTGGAAAATTTATCAGCAACTGCTGTCCAGTGGGAAAGCCTCTTCTTGTCCGTTCCTGAAAGTTGTCAGTCCTCATGGAAGTATCATTTGTCTAATTAGAAAGATGCAATAAAAGGGCAGTATGCAATTTCCAAAGTCACACAGTACACTAATACAAGTGCACAGAAGGACCTTTTCTGTTAGACGAGTAGGCTTTAGCGGAAAAAAACAGCCTGGAAGCTGGCACCATCTCCCTGACCCCCACCCTACTTCCCAGCCTCTGTGGCACCTCCCTGCTTACCTTACACAGCATCATGCTGCAGCTTTTTGCTGGGAAAAATGTTCCTCCTTGAGAATTAAAAACTTTGCATGCATTGGGGCCCTTTCAACCCTCAGCTGTGGCTACCAGAACCCACATGTGAGCTGTGTTTGCCCCAGGGCTCGGCAGCAGCAAAGGGACATGAAGGGACTCACAGGGTAGCATTACAGGAATGAACAGGTCTGGAGAAAACACACAGCTTGAACCAATTTGCTCAACTGTCAATAAAGCAAAACTTAATTCTCACTCTCATCTCTGGTTTTCTCTCAAATTATTGGGTTTTTACACCTCCTGCTCTGACCCATAAAGATGAGCCCTGCAAGTGTGTGCTCAAACTCAGGCCAATTGGTCAATTTTTTGGCCCTGCTTATGTAGCCTCTTCAAACTTGTAACAACATTATAACCTTGGATCCATTAAGAAAAGCATCTCTAAACCAGATATCATTTGATCCTTAATCTCTGAATGGGTGTCATGGGAATTTAAGCATGTTAAACTTTACGGTAAAGCTTAGTCTTCAATATTGTCCTGAACGGTAGAGGAGTTAAATGCTGACAGTGCCTTCCTGAATTGAAATTCCAGGCCATGCTTATTTAAAACAAAGCAATATGAAACTATAAGCTCTACTGCCACTGACTGGGATCCTATACAAACCTTATTTTGGATGCAGATGTAAACAAGACATGAGCTCTTTAGCAAAGTTTGCTGCTCTTGCAGGTTTCACGCTCCTTGATCGGAAATCATTCAGGCTCTCAAGTTTACATTCTGATTGTAAATCTGTGTTAGCAAATTCTGGTGTAGTTCATTTTACCTGTATCAGCATGGTGGCATTACACCTCTACGTGGCTCTGTCTCTTTTTTTTAGCAAGAATACAAAGATATACTTATGGTTCGCTACGGTCAAAGAACTGAGGTGGAATTTAAAAGCCAAAAAAGATATTTACACTTTCTGGGGTGTGCACAAATGTTGCACAATGATATTTGATTTAAAGCTCGCATCTGATTTTAAGTGCACTTTAATAACTATCTCAACCTGAGTTTAAATGAGATTTACAAATACTTACCAGCTCAGTATACACTTCTACAGGCATCACTTACAATGCTGTGTTGCTGTTCTTATGGATTTAGAAATTGATGCTGACCTATATCTTGACTATTTATTTTAAAATACTTTATCTTTTTAAAGAATACATTTGGATAATTTTACCAACATGAACTAGAAACGTCTTTATTTCCAAAAGACCTGTTTTTCTTGAAACTCTTAAATATCTATGATCTGGGAATTTAAAGCAAATGCCAGACATCTTGTAATACAATCTTAAGATTTAGCAATATTACCACATAATTTTCTTTTGTGTATATGAACCTTGTATTAGCAAATACCACAACTACTTCTTGAAATTAAGTATCTTTGGAATTAGTAGACTTCGTGTTGTTCACTGATGTCTTGATATATCAAGTTTGTCTAAGCAGTTGACCAGCTGTATAAAAATTTAATCTAAAAAATGTCACTCCTTCCTCTCAGATGGAAAAAACTTTTTAATGGAATATTTTGAGTACACAGACACATGGAGTTAGCTAATACTGCAAAATACAGATTAGCACAGACCTGAACATCATATAGGGCCCTAATGATACACTCTCTACTCCACTCCTGCCATATTTGATTTGTCTTGTTTTCCTTCTTTCTCAGTTACCTGAAACAATAAACTTCTGCTTGAAGTAGGTTCTTTATAAATGTCACTTTACAGAAGTTTTGTCAGTGGTTTGGGTTTTTTTCAGTTCTGGTTCTTTTGAGCAGCTAAATCTCAGCTAAGAAGTCCTCAGACTATCTCAGAAGGCCACAAAGGGAAAGGTAGATTTCAGTCAATGGTGTTTTAAGATACCTGTCTTCAGAGAGGTCTTGTGAGTTGGTGGCTGGAATGGAATTTACTCCTCTTGGCCTCTGTGTGCCATTTTCCCTGTCTCTGAAATCAAGAGGACAATCCCCACCCTCTGCAAAGGGCAGCTGGGCTGCCTGAGAAGCTTCTGTGCCTTGACCACGTTTGGTCAACAACAAATGTTTTTGTTATTAGATTTGTACTAAAAGGAGTGTGTGAGACAGGCCTCTATAACTTTAAATAACAAGAACAGATGACACTTGGACCCATCACTCTCTACTGTGCTGTACAGCCTGAACACAGTACAGTCCACTCACAGCCAAATTCCCTGCGGTACGACTGCCATCCTCACTGTGTTATGTGGGTAATAACAGACTAATGTGCTTCATTTAACGTAATTTAGGGCCTGATCCTATGAGGCAGTGAAGTCCTCTGCTCTTGTTGACTTCGGTAGGAAGTGGGACCTGTTAAGAAAAGGGTCTTTAATGTTCTGTCGGGAGCCTTAGCATGTGAAGGGGAGCTATTCCTTCTGTACGCACTTGTAATATGTACAGGATTTGGGTACCTTTTGTAATAGTTCACTTAAATCTTAACGCGTTGCTAGGGAATGGGCTGTGTCCACAACCAACAAACATGTAGACGTTGTGTCCTACTGGTCTTTGGCAGAGTTTACTGTAAGAAATGGTTTTATTGCAACAAGATCTACTAGCAGTAGTACAAAAAAGTAGTTTGTCAGCTTTTTTTTAAATTACAAATATTTTAGTTCTATCATACAAATAGAAATCCCTTGCAAGCTGAAGGCTAGGCATGTGAGGATACCACCCAGAATCAAATACTTCTTTCCCTTATTCTTTGAAATATTGATTCAGCTATTTTTTAATTTACTTGAGCCTAAGTACAGTGTTTGGAAGCTTAACAAGCTTGGAAATTTTCTGCTCTTTTGTACTAACTAATGCTATTACTATTTTCAAGACACATAAAAGAGGCGATTATTTATGTTTCCAAAGTGTATGGCTTTTCAAGTTTTCAGACTGCATTTAAGAGTATCAGAAACAATGAAACTTTTGTCTTTATGGAGTCCTAGATGCTGTTTCTGAAATGGTTT